TTGTGGCAGCTCCTGTGCTCTGGAACACAGGCTCAGTAGTTGGGGTGCCCAGGCTTAGTTGCTCCAGAGCAAGTGTGACCCTCTGGGATCAGGGATCGAAACTGTGTCACCTGTGCCGGCTGATGGTCTCTCCACCACTAACCCACCAGGGAAGCCCCCAGAGAGGCCTTTTTTGTGCCAAAGTGAAAGTGAAGTTGCTCAGTCATGTCTGACTCTTTGCGACCCACCAGGCTCCTCTATCCATGGGATTCTCCAGGCAAAAATACTGGAGTGTGTTGCCATTTCCTTCTCCAGGGGATCTTCCAAACCCAGGGATCGAACCCAGGTCTCCCACATTGCAGGCAGACGCTTTAACCTCTGAGCCACAAGGGAAGCCCTAGCCAAGGGCTTGTGCCAAGCCCTTCCCAAATTGCAAAATACATGTTGTCCTTTTTTGAGCACTCCCTCTTAGGGTGGTTTGTTGAGCAGTAAAAAGTAATGAACACAAATCAATCCTACGTTTCTGAAACCTGTGTATGGGTTGGCAAAAAGAGAAGAGAAAGCCTATCAGGTCAGGGCTTTGATGCCAAAAGGCTCTTTTGTCTTTGGAGCAGCCTACATCCCAAATCATTCTCCATCCAGGAAAAAAAAAGGAGTTTCACTCGGATACTCTCATCTGGGAAGATTTCCTACTTGCATGTATTCCGTCACCTATTCTCTCCTTTCAGCATCCCATCCGATCAAGTGGCCCTGCTTCCTTTACCTTAGGACGCTTCTCTTCTGGCCTTGATACCTTGTAGACATTTCTGCAGGGCATCACTTGTCCTTTGAAAATTTATTAATCAAATAAATTTCCTCTGCAGCTCTTTGATCTTTTTTTTTTTTTTTTGATACAAATTTCATTGAACACAAATCCCCTTTTTTCTCTTTCAAGAAGTTCAGGGGTGATGTTAAAAAGGAGTTTTGTGTGTGTGAGGGTAGGGTGAGGGGAAACTGTTAAAAAAAAATGCCAGTTGCATTGTAGAATCCGTCAAAAAGGTCAGAGCCACACCATACAGTACACATCACTTAGGCAACATGTTCAGCTCTTCTGCCTTATATTTTTTTAAGAATGATCTTTAATGAGCATGCAAAGGGCGCTACAAGAATCATTTTTCCTCAAAAGGATTGTAAGGAGGGAGAGAGATGAGGCAGTCTGTACCTTTCTCATGAATATTTACCGTGTAGGCTGAGATCCTTTGGCGCCCCCAAGCCTCTGATATTCTTCCTCTGTCCTCTCACAGACTCTGAAAAGCTCCCATCCTATTATTTAATGAGCCGAAGCTGCAGAATTATAACAAAGCACACTTGAATCCTAGTATCCAATGTGAAAGAAAAGAGCTGTATCTGAATAGTGATGTCTTTCTGAAAAATAATCAGAAAGACTTCTATTGATCCCTACACAGAGAGGGCTTAGGGGGTGTGTCTAGGTGAAGCGGAGAAGAAACACAGTGAAATGGGGCCCTTGGCCACACACAGATTCAGCCACTGATTCAAGTTCCTGGGATCAAATCAGTGTTACTAATAGATGAATGCCCATTCCCAGAATGGATTCTCGCTTGCTATTTGGAAGATTGTTTTTTTAATGTTTACACCAGTGGAGAAATTTAAATTAAATACCAGTTAGAAGGGACAACTTTGATGCATTGGGAAAAGTGATTAGTCTGGGAGGACTTCCCTGGTCCGGTGGCTAAGACTCCACGCTCCCAATACAGGGGACCCAGGTTCAATCTCTGGTCAGGGAACTAGATTCTACAGGCTGCAACTGAAAGATTCCACACAGCACAACAAAGAAAGATGATCTTACATGCCTCAGCTAAGATCCAGTGCAGCAAAATACACACACACACACACACACACACACACAAAAGATTACAAAAGTCACATGTGTATGCACGTCTGGTCTTGAGATTTTAGCCAAGAAAATGATAATAAAAGTGAAAGCTATTTTAAAAAAATGACTGTCTATTGAGTATTTACGGCATAAGACTAAGCACCTTGTGTACATTATTGCATTTAATTCTCTCTAATCTCTTGAGAAAGGTGTTATTACTTACAATAGGAAGTAGAGGGAGTCTGAATAATTTGATTCAAGTCACACATGTAGGAAGTGTTAGACCTGGGATTTAAAGCCTTTCTAGCGAATTCCAAGGCCAGTTGCTGTGTACTCTGTTAGTTTAATGAGCTGAGTGGACCTGGGGCAAGTGACTTGCCCTCTCTGAACCTAGAGTAGCCTTCCTCACCTGTAAAGTTAGGAAGTTTATTGTTCTGTGCCCTCCAGGTCTGTATTGGTTTCCTATTGCTACCATTAGAAACCTACCATATATTTGATTGTAGTTGTCCAATCTCTAGGTCATGTTCAACTCTTTGTGATCCCATGTTCTGCAGCACACCAGGCTTCCCTGTCCTTCACCATCTCCCGAAGTGTGCTCAAACTCAAGACATATATTTGGTATTAATAGCTTAAATGGCACATGTTTATCACCTTACAATTCTGTAGTTTGGAAGTCTGACACAGGTCCAGCTGAGTTTCAGTTATGGTGAAGACAGAGCTGGTTCCTTTTAGAGGCTCTGAGTATCTGCTCCCTCGGTTTTTCTAGCTTCTAGAGTCCACCTGCTCTCCTGGACTCAGGAGTCCTTTCTTGTGTCTTCCCAACCTCTTGTTCTCATCCTCACATCACTCTCTTTTGACTCCTGCTGCTTAACTTATAGGGAAAAGGCAATGGCACCCCACTCCAGCACTCTTGCCTGGAAAATCCCATGGACGGAGGGGCCTGGTAGGCTGCAGTCCATTGGGTCATGAAGAGTCGGACATGACTGAGCAACTTCACTTTCACTTTTCACTATCATGCATTGGAGAAGGCAATGGCAACCCACTCCAGTGTTCTTGCCTGGAGAATCCCAGGGATGGCAGAGCCTGGTGGGCTGCCGTCTATGGGGTCGCACAGAGTCGGACGCGACTGAAGCGACTTAGCAGCAGCAGCAGCAGCTTTACTTATAAGGGCCCCTGTGATTACCCTGGGCCCCACCCAGATTATCTAGGTTAATCCTTCCCATTTCCTGATCCTTCATGTAATCACACCAGCAAGATCTCATTGCCAGGTATGGTAACATTGACAGGTTCTAGGGGTTAGAACTTGGACCTGCCTGGGGGACCATTATACGTCCTGTCACAAGCTCTGATTTTTTTTTTAATAGGCGGAAGTGTCATAAAAGTCCGTGCTTGACACTTGTCAGATAGTGTAGAGTTCTTTTTAGTTGTCTCTGTACCCTGTCTACAAGCTGGACCGTCTCTTCTAGCAGGGGTAGCTGTCAGTCCCAGATTGCAGTTCTGTATACCTCTTGTCACTGAGTATATTGTCCTACTTTATGGACCCTTTTTTAAACTTCATTGTGTTGATTGGTCGTTTGTGTGTGATCACTCTCAGCATCACGCTTGCTTCCTGAAGTGTGTGTGCATGTGTGTGTGTGCTCATTCATGTCTGACTCTTTGCAATCCCATGGAGGCTACATCGTCTTCTAGGTTCCTCTGTCCATGGGATTCTCCAGGCAAGAATACTGGAGTGGGTTGCCATTTCCTACTCCAGGGGATCTTCCCTACCCAGAGATGGCACCTGAGTCTCCTGCATCTCCTTCATTGGCAGGTGGATTCTTTACCATTGCACTGTCTGGGAAGCCCTTCCTGAAGAAGACATCCTTTCTTACTGTATCCAGCATTCTCTCTCCTCTTCAGTTAACACGCCTTAGTTCTTTCATCCATGTCATTAACTCAGATACCATATTGGCCCAAGTTCTGTAGAAGCTAATAAGTACTAGCCAGATGCAAAGCTCTGCCACCATCAGCATCTTAAAATTTTTAATGAGAATTATTGAATATGCTTCATCTGTTTACCTAAGATTTGCTTGGCCCCTCCTCTAAAAATAGCAAAATATTCTCAGTGATTCTGTTTCAGCCTGTAATTGATCTATGAACTTCCTTGTAAACCACAGGAAATAGAGCACTGTTTTCTGTTGGAAATATGGATCATGTATTAACTCATAGGCATAGCAGACAGTAATCACATACCCTGAAGCCAGTGATATTTTTCCTATTTCTCAGAGATCATGAGAGAAATAGCACTCAGTTATAAACTTCTGGTGATTTTTCTGTAACTGTTGGTAAGGTAACTAAAATTCACATCTTTTATTCTTTGTATATAGTTTGTCTCTTGTTCAATATGGTTAATATTAAGGAACTTTTCACTCATATCCAACTTTCGAGTTATATATTTTTTTCAAAACAATGCATTAGTCTTTTGAAATTGGCTTCACTATCTAATTGTTCCAAAAATTGTTTTCAGTCTTAAGATAGGCATTTTAAATAAGACCCAAATAGAAAATTGAGAAAGAATCCATTGTTTGTTAAGCATTCACCAGGCAAACTGCTAAGCATTTCAGCCTGCTTATCATTTAAAGCCAATTAGAAATAATCAGCCAAAAATACTTTTAAATGCAATCAGTATTCAACTATGTATTTAAGTGAACTTTTGAGCTTGTTTTTCACTTCTCTTGTATTTCATTTTAAAAATATATTTATTATGTCTTGATTCTTTATTGAGCGCAATTTAGTGTTTGGTAGAAACTAAAATAATAATAGTAACAACAACAATAAAGCTTAAGATTTTCTCTGAAAAATAATGCATTTAATTTTTATTCCTTACAAGAGAAGACAAAGTAGAATAAAATATTTTAAGACATTAAAGAGTTGAGCTGTTCAAAGGGGGAAACAGATTGTCTTCCCACCTTCTCTACTGAGCACTCGCAGAGCACAGTGATGACTTGTCCGGGAGTTTCAGGGAGCGTGTTGGGGGAACCTGATAAAGAGCAGGGCTACCTCTCGCCTACCTTGCTCATCACCAGGTCTTCAGACTATTCACCAGGGCACGAGAGATCGACGGAATCTTGTTTAACTATAAAATCTGTCATTGTCTTTTCTTCCCCAGGTAGCGCGGGCACCCCAGTCATGTTTAACAAGAACGGGGATGCCCCTGGGCGTTACGACATCTTCCAGTATCAGACCACAAACACCACCAACCCCGGCTACCGACTGATCGGACAGTGGACCGATGAACTGCAGCTCAATGTGAGTTTTGCTTGTCCTTCTTCCTTTGCTTATGAAATGAGTGAGCAGATTTTTAATATGCTCCATGAGGCAGATATGTGTATGAGTATCGGCAAGTGTGCTTGCAGCTTGTTAAGAGCATCAGGAGGGACTGATAACCATAATAATACAACAGTGAGAGCACTGATGATGATGGCGGTGATGGGCATGTGTGTGGAGTTCATGCCTGACTATGACCTGGGCAAATCTGTGAATCATCTCATTGAAACTGAGGCTCGAGTTGCTTAACCAACAAGGTACCAGCTAATACTTCAGTACTTTCATGAGATCTTTCTCATGCTCAAATTATTTTTCCTTCCTTCCTTCCTCCTTTCCTTTATTTGCTCGTAGATTTTTTTTTTCTTTTAATTCATTTTACTGAGTCACTTTGACTTACACTGAGGTTCTCTGGGTAATATCAGTGTTAGCTAATTTCCATAACCTCTCTTTCATTCAAAAGCGTGACCTTGAGTGGGTAACCGGTTCTTTGTGCCAGGTTATGTCAGAGTTCACCAGGAAACCCATCAGGAACTCACCTGTACTCAAACACAGTAAGGTGTATTTACCTCACTACATGAAAAACAAACTCCTGCCAGCAAAGCTTCTTCAGGGTGGAGGCGTTCAGATGAGATTTGTTGAGTCAGGTAATTCCAAGGTGGTTTTGGGAAGCAAGGACCAGTTTTGGGTCGGGCCATTCTTAGGAAGTAGAGACAATATAATGATTGGGTGTCTTGGTGATTTTGAACTAGGCGATAGGAGGATAAGAGCTGGGCAAGAATGGTCACTAATAACGAAACAGTTTGACCTCGTGTGAATTGGAAAAGGGAGATGTCTAGATATTTTTGTAGTTGCAGAGTGTCCTGTGTATCTAGTTTCACACATGATGGCTTGTTCCCACATAGTCATGGAGTGGCTTTGTCTGGTTAGCATTTATATTCTTCTGAAGTTTGAACTATGCCTGCCTAGGTGTTAACTGACAGCTCTTCAGCCCCTTTTTTATTTATTTGTGTTTTAATTTCTTACCATTTTAGGTTCAACATTCAATAATGTGCTTCTAATAATACTTACAATGCCCTATTTCAAATTAATGTTTAGTCTAAATGAGTATGCTTGTCTTCCCGAGGAATAAAGAACACTTGGGCCAGGGTCCTTCCACCCTGGCTGGGCCCGGTACAGCTCCTCTTTCTCCCCTCCTGGGACAGAATGTAAACTGTCCAGCCCCAAGCCTGGTGGCTGGGGTCCTGGAGCCTGGGGCTGTGGCAGAGATGCTGTAGGGCCTCCTTTTCTGAGACGTGTTGACTGGGGGGTTGTACTTCAAGAAGTTCTACAGCAGATTCCTTGATGTGGCCTTGAGCTCGCATATAATGTTCACCTGGGATGCTGTGGACAAGTACATTGGGTTGGGCTTATGAATCAGGTAGGGCTCCTTAGATCCAGAGATCTACTTTGAAATAGTAATATATACAATTCGTGATTGTCTTGTGTCCATCAGAGCCCTGTATTACTATGAGTTCTCCAGAGAAGCAACCAATAGGATAGGTCGGTAGGTAGATTTTCAGATGAGATTTGTTGAGTCAGGTAATTCCAAGGTGGTTTTGGGAAGCAAGGACCAGTTTTGGGTCGGGCCATTCTTAGGAAGTAGAGACAATATAATGATTGGGTGTCTTGGTGATTTTGAACTAGGCGATAGGAGGATAAGAGCTGGGCAAGAATGGTCACTAATAACGAAACAGTTTGACCTCCTGTGAACTGGAAAAGGGAGATGTCTAGATATTTTTGTAGTTGCAGAGTGTCCTGTGTATCTAGTTTCACACATGATGGCTTGTTCCCACATAGTCATGGAGTGGCCTTGTCTGGTTAGCATTTATATTCTTCTGAAGTTTGAACTATGCCTGCCTAGGTGTTAACTGACAGCTCTTCAGCCCCTTTTTTATTTATTTGTGTTTTAATTTCTTACCATTTTAGGTTCAACATTCAATAATGTGCTTCTAACAATACTTACAATGCCCTATTTCAAATTAATGTTTAGTCTAAATGAGGATGCTTGTCTTCCCGAGGAATAAAGAACACTTGGGCCAGGGTCCTTCCACCCTGGCTGGGCCCGGTACAGCTCCTCTTTCTCCCCTCCTGGGACAGAATGTAAACTGTCCAGCCCCAAGCCTGGTGGCTGGGGTCCTGGAGCCTGGGGCTGTGGCAGAGATGCTGTAGGGCCTCCTTTTCTGAGACGTGTCGACTGGGGGGTTGTACTTCAAGAAGTTCTACAGCAGATTCCTTGATGTGGCCTTGAGCTCGCATATAAAGTTCACCTGGGATGCTGTGGACAAGTACATTGGGTTGGGCTTATGAATCAGGTAGGGCTCCTTAGATCCAGAGATCTACTTTGAAATAGTAATATATACAATTCGTGATTGTCTTGTGTCCATCAGAGCCCTGTATTACTATGAGTTCTCCAGAGAAGCAACCAATAGGATAGGTCGGTAGGTAGATGGATGGATAGATAGATAGATAGATAGATAGATAGATAGATAGATAGATAGATAGATAGTAGAAATTGGCTCACATTTATCATAACTACTGAGAGGTCCAAAGATGTGCAGTTGCCAAGCCAGAGATCCCGAAGACTCAATGGCTTAAGATCCAGTCTGGGTCCAAAGGCAGAAGAAGACTGATGTCCCAGCTCAAAGATGGGCAGAGAGAAAGAGGGTTCTCTCAGGCTCAGACTTTCAGTTCCGTCCAGCTCTTCAACAGGTTGTTTAAGGCACACACACATTGGGGAGGACAATCTGCTTGAATCAGTTAACAATTCAAATGTGCATCTCAGCCAGGAACACCCTCGCTGTGTTTAACCACATACCAGGGCATCCATAGCCCATTCAGGTTGACACATAAAATGAACCATCACAAGCTCTGTCCCAGAGAGGTCCTTCTAATGTCTTCCAAACCTGGAAATGATGCCATTAGCTTTTACTGGTGTAGACCTTAGGAGGCCCTTTGGAAATGATTGAGAGTGTGGGGTTTTTTTAGCATAACACACAGAATAGACATCTTGGGGCCGGTACAGCTTGGGTTATGGTTTTTAGAAGAGAGGATTGTCCATGAGATGGGTTGGTCAAGCCACAAGAGGCCATTTACATCCTTTGCACATTGTCCCACCTGGTTCTGCTTGTATCTGGTCAGTTCTTTGCCTCTCAGTGTCCACCATCCCAGTGAGCTGACAGGAAGGTTGTTCTTTGGTTTGTATTTTAATACAAATTGTGTTTATCAACCATTCAACAAGTCTTTGTTTTGTTTTTCGTACTTTTAAGTACCTGTCCTGCAATAAGCATTGTACAAGGCAGTGGGTGCGCAGTGGGAATCAAGACAAACATGGTTCTCGTTTGTACATAATTGAAGATCTTGAATAGCATTACATGGTAAACAAGAGATATGAGTGTGAAAACTCCAAAGTGTGGTAAGAGGCATGGCAGGAGAGAAAGAATGGTGAAGAAAGACCTTGCAGATGAGGAGCAGATGATGGGGAGAGAATGAGTGATCCCCGGAGCAGATCAGAAGTAAACACAGCGATGGTGTCGCTGAGGGAGAGTCATGAGATGGGTTGGTCAAGCCACAAGAGGCCATTTACATCCTTTGCACATTGTCCCACCTGGTTCTGCTTGTATCTGGTCAGTTCTTTGCCTCTCAGTGTCCACCGTCCTAGTGAGCTGACAGGAAGGTTGTTCTTTGGTTTGTATTTTAATACAAATTGTGTTTATCGGCCATTCAACAAGTCTTTGTTTTGTTTTTCGTACTTTTAAGTACCTGTCCTGCAATAAGCATTGTACAAGGCAGTGGGTGCACAATGGAAATCAAGACAAACATGGTTCTTGTTTGTACATAATTGAAGATCTTGAATAGCATTACATGGTAAACAAGAGAGATGAGTGTGAAAACTCCAAAGTGTGGTAAGAGGCATGGCAGGAGAGAAAGAATGGTGAAGAAAGACCTTGCAGATGAGGAGCAGATGATGGGGAGAGAATGAGTGATCCCCGGAGCAGATCAGAAGTAAACACAGCGATGGTGTCGCTGAGGGAGAGGATGGGGAGGAGGGATGAGAGAAGTTAGGGCAGTAGGTAGGAGCCAGAGCCGTTCCTGGGAGACCACGATAAATATTTTAAAGATTTTATTCTGAGTGCATTTAAAAACCATGAGGAAATATTAAACAAAGGAGTGGCTGGCTCAGAATTAGGAATAAAATATTACTTTGTCTGCCGAGAAGGTAATGAATAGTAAAGGGCAGGCATGGGAATAGAAAGACTAATGAAGATTACATTGCAGTTGTCGAGCTAAAGGAGGGTGGCTTAGTGAAGGGGTTCTCCACTTCAGTGTGCGACAGAAACCATCTGGAAGGCTTGTAGAGACACATCTGCTGGGCCCGCTCTGAGGGATTCTGATTCAGAACATCTGGGAGTGCGAGGAGACCCAAATTTTTGTCTTTCGAAGGAGTACCTGTGCTATGATGATAGTACTTGGAGAACCACTGGCTTAGAAAATGTGGAACTAGCAGAGATACAATGAAATGAGTGGAAACATTTATGTATGCATTATATATATATACACACACACATATATAATATGTATATGCATATACAGCTATAATTGCATATATATATATATCTTACAGGAAGAATAGCATAATTGGGATTTAGTACTGGAGATAAAGGAAGAGCAATACTGGGATTGAAGGAAAATAAGAGTGAATCCCAGGTTTATAGCTCGAGGAACCCTGTGGATGCTCTAATAAGAGAGTAGGGAGACAGCTTGGAACAGGAGGGGAAGATTGAGAACCCTGATTGAGTCTTCCCAAATCCATGAGGGCCAAAATGAAACAGATATAAGTCTGAAGCTCAGAAAAGAGTTTGGGGCTATAGTTATTAAAAAAAAAAAAAAAGCAAGTTATTAACCTATAAATGGCCTTGAAATGCATTAGAGAAAGAGAGAAAATGTAATAGCAGAGAACCCAAGGCCTTGAAAACCTCATAGAAAGTGTCACAATTCCAGTCCAACTACTCCAAATAACACCCAACTTAAAAGATTCTGTCTCATTTGCCTGGAATGTTGGGCCAAGCTGTATTCTTTGAATTTTTATTTTTGTTTATGGAAGTTAGACAGGCATCTGTGCTTTATTTAGCACTAAATAGGAACAGCTTTGATTCTTCCTTGTCATGCTGAGAGGTTATGGTAGGACGAGCGGCCAGGACCACAGTCAACTGAACCCAGTGGCTGATGCTTGCTATAGGATGCACCTTTAAGTTCTGAATGGCTGAGTCAGGGACAGGACTGTTTTTAGACCCCTGAAAGGCTGGGTTAATTCAGAGGGTGAACACTGAGATAACTAGCCTTGCAAAGAGGTTACCCTGTTGATGTCTTTTATAGACTCCTTAAGATACTATAAAATCTGGAATCACGAAGAAAGAGGGTGCTCCACCTGTCTCACCTGGAGACCCAGGCCACAGCTGCTGGTCTGTCCAGTGGGCATGTCCTGTCCATCCAGGGTCATCCTGCTCACGATGTTACTTCTGCACTAATTATTCTGATTCAGCTCCAAGTTTTGTGGGAGTGGACTTTTGGCAAACTTAGTTTGGTAGGTTTGCTTGCTCCTAGTCAATGAGATAAAACAAAGTATTTTAAGTAACATGTATGCTTATCATTTACAAAGACTCCGGGGTACTATTTTAGCCCCAAGTGAGATCATCTGGAGGAAATGAAGTTTTCAGGAGAGCTGTCTCTGTGGTCAGTAATTGCAAATATGTTTCTTAGCTAGGAGGTGAAAGTTTTAGAGTCTCATGATCCCAGGGTTATAGACCAGACTGCCTGGCATTCTGTACCCTATCCTCTGGAGTTTAGGTGTCTGAGAGCGCCCTGTCTGTTACAGAATGCCACCCTGAGTCCTCACTGCTGGAGTAAGAGCTCTAGGCCCTGCCTCTTCTCGGGCTAACAGATGACCACAGGGTTGCTGTTTGAATGTTTCTTCTCCAACCAGAATTCATCAGAAGGAAGTCATTAGGAAGATTCATTCTCCCACTTGCCACCTATACAAGAAAGAACTCTGCTTTTTGCCTCAAGTTTGTGTAGTACCATGCAGAGATTCTGGAAAATGTTATTCCTGGCAGAGAAGCAGGCAAGGGAATAATGCAATAAATATCCATTGCTTACCTGTAGGGTATCAGGAAGGATGGAGATGTTGGGAGAAACAAGGGGACATGTCCCTGCACTTGGGGTTCCCAGGATAGGATCAGGGCTCTGTAATAGACAAACTCCGTTTCAGTGTTTATTTTATTTATTTCCACTCTAAGTGTATGTATGTATGTATGTATGTGTGTGTGTGTGTGTGTATTTAATTGGAGGATAATTGCTTTCCAATTTTGTGTTGGCTTCTGTTCTACATCAATATTAATCAGCCATAGGTATACGTATGCCCCCTCCATGTTAAACCTCCATCCCATCTCCCACTCCATCCCACCCCTCTAGGCAGTCACAGAGCACTAGGTTTGCACTACCTGCGTCATACTTCAGCATTTACAGGGTTTAAATGGGTGCTGATTTAAGGCACTGACATATATTTGAACTGGAATTTGAAGGACAAGTCATAGTTCCCAAGATGGAGAAGAAAAAATGTTTTAGAATGAATAACACGATACTATGTAGAAACTAGGTTGGAAATATGTTGGGGATAAGGGCATAATATAAAAGGTAGAGTGTTTTAAAAACTACACGTTTATGATGTGAATAAGCTCCACATATATTTTGCATATTAGAAACAAAACTTCTGTCATCCTTTTGGTTATTTGCAGTTAGTAGGACATTTAGATATGCCTGCAATGTAAATTTTTCTAATTAACTGAAATTCTTTAAAATCCAAAAATGTTAGTTTTTTGTTGTTGTTTTTTTTAAGAACTACCCTTAATAGGCAACTTCCTACAGTGAACTGCACACATTCTTAAATGGAAGATTGAGTAAATATCACTTAACCTTTACTGGCACCTTAGTCTTCAGCCATTCTACAGGGTAGTCATGTTTATAATCTTCTGATGTGTGTGGGGGGCTTTTTAAGAAATTTGTTCCCTATTAAATTTACTTTCTAACCAGAGACTGAAATCTCCTAAAAGTTAGAATCCATGTTTTAATTATTTTTTGTACAATTACTAGCATAGTACCTGACCCTTACCAAGCATTTGTGTTTGTTATGGTTGTTAATATATAAAACCGTGGTAAGATTAATATGATGTCTCTAATGGTAGAAATTTTCTGCGATGAACAGCCACACTTCTTCCCTCTGGGAAGAGCACCCAAGCTTCCTTTTAAGTCGTGTGGTCTGCCTTGCACAGTTCCTAAATCCAGAGGCAAGACTGGATTTAGCCTAAACGCATCACCCACATTCATAGTGATGACAGGCAATAAACTGTGCAGTTAGGATGAACCACCAGATGCCTGTCAGCCAGTCTGAGACTCCGCCACCTCTCACAGAAAGCCACAGGCAGACATTTGGAGGCCGCAGAGCAGGAGCTCCAAGGAAAAGGAGGCAAAGCTTAGAGAACCTAGGTTGGAGGTGACATCCTTTGAGCCCTAGGAACCTTTGCATGCAAGCTAAGACGCTCCAGTCATGCCAGTTCTTTGTGAGCCCATGGACTGTAGCCCGCCAGGCTCCTCTGTCCATGGGATTCTCCAGGCGAGAGTACTGGAGTGGGTTGTCATGCCCTGCTCCAAGGGATCTTTCCAACCCAGGGATCAAACCCACGTCTGTTATGTCTCTTAGGTCGCCTGCGTCGACAGGCAGGTTCTTTACCACTACTGCCACGTAGGAAGGCCTGGAAGCCACTTACGGTGCTCTCTGGATTGTTCCCTTATCAGTAACTGAAGGAAACCTAAGTGTCTTACTTTTCTACTTACAACCATTTCACTACAGCAATCAAAAATTTAAAAAAAAAATTTTTTTGTTTTAATACACCCAAACTGGGGTAAATAAAATGTCAGTCTACACTTAATAAGCAGAAGTTTTTAAATTTCGTTAAACTGAGGTGATTAAAAATTAATTTTAAAAGTTGTAATTTTGTTAAATATTTGAATCTCTCACCCTGGTTAGAATTTTGTCTTTCACTGGCATTTAAAGACAAAAAGTATGGTTGATTGCGGCAATCACTGTTTAATCAAATTATCTCTTCCCAAATCAATACTTACTTCTACTGCCTATAAAACTCCTAATCACTCTATTGTTTCATAATTGCAGCAGTAAAAATGTTTTAGAAGCCTAATCATGCTTATAATTTACAAAGTATTACATGAGATATGGAGTAATGGATAGCCATAATCAGAGTAATGTTGCCAAAGAGAAAAATAAGTAAGTTGTCAAAATCTAGTACTTCTTTAACTTCGGTTTAAAGGCTGCTTTTATGAAATTACCCCACTGATCATCATAATAAATGACTCATATCTTGTAATGTATAGTTTTGTTATTAGTAACCAGGGCTACAGGCTTTGTAGCTGATCTGATTAAATGGAAGTGAGTCTTCGCTCCACCAGTTAGGAGCTGTAGGGGATTACAGTAGTACCAATTTCATAAGGTTATTGCTGGAAGTAAATGTAGTAATATATGTAACAAACTTAAAACAGTGCCTGGCACATAGTAAATATTGAACAAATGTTAGCTATAATAGCAAAAGTAATAATAATTTAATATCTTTAGTGTATCACATAACTGTTGAAAATGTCAATTTCTAGTGCTCAACTGTATTTTGTTTTCTTTATCCCCTGCACCTAGTGTTATGCTTATAAAATGATTGTTCTATATGAAATAGATGAGTGGATAAGCAGACAAACAGGTTTTATTATAAATTACTTAGGAGTAAGGGTGTCATTTTTGATTTAGAATCCCCAGTGCCTATTGCATGAATGGATGAGAAGATGTACCCAGAAATCTACTGCAGTCAGCAATTCTGTGTGATTCAGGGGTCCACTGAAGACCTTGGTTCACCAGACGGGTTTCTTCAGAATTGTATATGTGATCTGTAAGCCAGTTCACATTGCACAGATAGATTTTCAGTCTCTGAATGATAGAGGGGGGAAAAAAAAGGATGAAAAGGAATAAAAGAATTGGTTTTAATTTTTCCAACTGACTTTTCATTTTAGAAACCTACCTGTGGCTATTTGAGGACACGGTGGGATAACTGTTCTTCAGGGATTGTGTTGGGGTGTGAATGTCTACATTTGTGTTAGTGAAAGTGAATTGATAATCACACCACTGAAACTGCTTCCATCCACCACCCGCCTACGTACCCATCTAGTTTTTAATGTTGCATTGGAGGAAGACTCAAAACAGCAAAGGATTTAGGATCGTGGCTCTCATGGCTGGGCCCAGATCCTAGGTCTGTGAACCGGGACAAGAATGGCCTCTCTGACAAGACGGCACTTACCCTGAGACCGGAGGGCCAAGAGTTATCCATGTGTCAACATCTCTGAATCTGTGGTATTTTACGCAGGACACATACAAATCCAGTGCAGTAAGTGCTGCCTTCCAGTTGCGACGCAGCCTGAGACTACAGATCCCAAACTGAATACAAACAGCAGGAGTGCTTAAAAACTTAATTCCTTGCTAATATTTTAAGAATCAAGAAATTTTGCAAGAATAACTTTATTTTTGGCTTTTCTTTTCGAAATCAGATCAGGCAGTAGTATGCCTTTATTCCATGCTGTAATAGCTAATTGGATCTCAGTAAAGTCTTCCCACTTATCTGTGTCTCCACAGACCCTACTGTCCCCCATTGCCTGACCCCGCCCCAATCCCTGCTCCCTCATCTGTTTCCTGATGCCCATAGGCATCTCCTTTCACTCACTAAATCAGGGTGTAGAGTAGATTTTCAAAGGATTTAGGATCGTGGCTCTCATGGCTGGGCCCAGATCCTAGGTCTGTGAACCGGGACAAGAATGGCCTCTCTGACAAGACGGCATTTACCCTGAGACCGGAGGGCCAAGAGTTATCCATGTGTCAACATCTCTGAATCTGTGGTATTTTACGCAGGACACATACAAATCCAGTGCAGTAAGTGCTGCCTTCCAGTTGCGACGCAGCCTGAGACTACAGATCCCAAACTGAATACAAACAGCAGGAGTGCTTAAAAACTTAATTCATTGCTAATATTTTAAGAATCAAGAAATTTTGCAAGAATAACTTTATTTTTGGCTTTTCTTTTCGAAATCAGATCAGGCGGTAGTATGCCTTTATTCCATGCTGTAATAGCTAATTGGATCTCAGTAAAGTCTTCCCACTTATCTGTGTCTCCACAGACCCTACTGTCCCCCATTGCCTGACCCCGCCCCAATCCCTGCTCCCTCATCTGTTTCCTGATGCCCATAGGCATCTCCTTTCACTCACTAAATCAGGGTGTAGAGTAGATTTAAACTTATTTCCACTTGTTTGGTTTCCACACATACTTGACTTTTTATAAATCATCTCTAGGAATTGTTTTTCAAAAGTCAACAATAATACACTAATAGCGGCAGTGACTCAAAACAGCCATAAGAATGTAACAGCTTTTTTTAAAAAATGGTCAGTAAGTACAGCCTTCTAAAGAGAACTGTTCAAAGACCATGCTTTTGTTTGGAGACATATATTTGTGCAAATTCTGAAATATACTGAAAATGAAAGAAACCGAGATCACCCTTTGTCGTGAGCATTTCTTCTTGTGACCAGTGGTGTATAATTGTGTTCTTTTTATGAATGTCTAGACAATGCATGGTATTTATAATTATCAATATGTTTTCATAAGCATGTGCATTACAGAAGCCTGAACCCTCGTTATTTCTTGTTGGCATTGTAGGCGTTCCAGCAAATCACTTTCGTTTATTAATATACAACTTTGTTCTGTGGGGGAATTGTTGAATTTCATTACTTACTGTGTTTGGAGCTCAGGCAAAATACATTTGAAAGAAGAAGTAATAAGGATGAGTTTAGAGAGCTCAGATGTTATAACAGGGATTCTCACTTATTGCCAATCCAAAATTAGAAAAGGGAAAAGATAAGCTTAGGTACCCTCTGCCTAACCATTTGCTCTGAGAAGCCAAAAATCCAAGCGTGACATGATGATGTTAATATGGAAATGTAGAGATTAGATTAGAAGTGTTTTCAACATGCTGTGAGATAGTCTTATAAAGTGGGATAGCATCAGAAAGCCCTACATTCTCAACCACTTGTGGCTAAAGCAAATCATACACTATCCTTGAACCCCAGCCCCTTGTATATTTAAAACCTAATCAAGCCAAGCAAAACAGCTACTTCACAAGGACACTTTGAAAATGAATTGCTGTAATCTTCCTGATATAAATGAGCATATGGGATTCATGGTCATACTTCTTGTCATATTTCTTGCTGCTGTAAATAATTTCCAGAAACTTGGTTGCATAAAACACCACACCTTTCTTTTCTTATAGTTCAGAGGGTCACAGGTCCCATAGGGATCCCACTGGGCTAATATCCAGGTGTCAACAGAGTTGTTTCTGGAGACTCCAGGGGAGAATATGCATCCTGCTCGTTCTGGTCCTTGGCAGTATTTAGTTCCTTTTGGCTGTGGAACCGAGATCTCTGTTTCTTTGATGTCAGCCTTGGGTTGATCCTAGCTTCTCGAGGCCACCTTGATGCACTGGCTGCTGTCCATTTCTCCACCTTCCAAGCTGGCAGTGGTGGGTCGAGTTCCTCTCATGCTTCCCCTGCTTCCTGCCTCCTCTCCCGTGGTTGTGTCTACCACTGACTCTCCTGCCTTCCTCCTGTACTCTGAAGGGCCAACGTGATTATCCTTGGCTCATCCAGGTAGTCCAGAATAATCTTATTTTTAGTCTGTAATCTTGTTCCATGTGCAAAGTCTCTTTTGCTGTAGCATACTGATAAATGAAGGAATTAAGATATGGAAATCTTTGTTGGGGAGACAGGTAAAGGGGGCAGATTATTTTCCCTAAGAACTGTTCTTTACTACCTAACTTTGTTTTTCTATGAAATCTGTAAAATTCATACTGTCGTTTGGTCACTAAGTCATGCCCAATTCTTTGTAACCCCCATGGAGTGCAGCACACCAGGCTCCCTGCCCCTCACTGTCTCCCAAAATTTGCTCATATTCATGCTCATTGAGTTGGTAATGCCATCCAACCATCACTGCGGCCCCTTCTCCTTTTGCCTTCAATCTTTGCAGCATTGGAGTCTTCCAATGAATCATCTTTTTGCAACACATTTTCATTATTCTTTAATTTTTTATTTTTATGTTCTTTAATTTCAATATACCTCTATCATTGTCATATTTAATTAAATATTTTTGCGCAGTGAAAGTTTAGTCACTCAGTCATGTCCGACTCTTTGCGACCCCATGGATTGTAGAGCATCAGGCTCCTCCATCCACGGGATTTTCCAGGCAAGAATACTGGAGTGGGTTGCCATTTCCTTCTCCAGAGGATCTTCCCGACCCAGGGATCAAACCCGGGTCTCCCACATTGTAGGCACTCCACACTTTACCATCTCAGCCACCAGGGAAGTCGCAGTGAAAGGTTACTTTCCAATTACGGTTATTACAAAATGTTGCCTGTATCCCCCATGTTATAAATATATTGTTAAACCCATCTAAAATAGATAATGTAGCTGTGTAAACAGATAAGATTTGTATGAGATTTTCTGAAGCATCTTTAGTATCTGTCTTGACTTGTTGGTGGTTCAGATGGTAAAAGTTCTGTCTGCAATGCAGGAGACCCGTATTCTATCCCTGGGTTGGGAAGATCCCCTGAAGAAGGGAATGGCAACCCTCTCCAGTATTCTTGCCTGGAAGATTCCATGGTCAGAGGAGTCTGGAGTGCTACAGTCCATGGGGTCACAAGGAGTAGGACAGGACTGAGCTACTAACACTTAGTATCTAATTGAGCTAATCTGTTTGATAACTGTTCTAATCATATACCTAGAAAAGCCTAGAGAAGAACCCTGAATTAAGAACCCTAAATTAATGATAAGCAGACATAATCTCTCTCAAGTGAGGCCTCGGGATTGACGAACAAAAATGTAAGTAACACGGTAGGAGGCGTAGTTAAGCTCTAAAGGAGAATTCTGTTCACCTGCAGCCCTGTGCTAGTGTAGCCTCCACAGTCTTGAGCATTTTGCTTTCATTGCATCATTTCTCCAAATGACAAAGCATAAATGCAGAGAAAGAGAATAGATTGGCAGTTCCTGAAACAGTTACACATAAAATTGCTGTATGAACTAGAAATTCCACTCTTGGATGTTACCTTGTTCTGACCTTCTCTGGTCTGTACTGGAGGTCATGGAACAGTAGAACATCATAGTAAATAGCCTGGAATTTGGAAGCTGTTGACTGCTGACTCCCTGACATGGCTACCAAAGTTGTCTATTGATAATGCAAAGTTGAGTTTGTTGTTTACTCAGTAAGGGGGCCACCATCTTCAAAGAGTCTTTGTAGTCTCAGGAGAGGGAGGTCAAGAGCAGATACTTTTGAAATTTGGGGGTCTAGAATAAGGCACTTTTTTTCGTTGGGGGGGTTTTGTTCGGATTTGGGCAAGTTCCAGGTTTTTTTGTTTTTTTTTTGGTTCTGGGGGGTTGGTTTTTGAGGCAGTTTTTTTGGCTTAACTTTTTTTGTTGGGGGATTTTTTCCCATTTGGTTGTTATTTGTTCTTGAAATTGGGTTTTTTCTTTTGTTTGAATTTTTTTTTTTTTTTTTGGGTGGTTTTTTTTTGCCGTTGGTTGGTTTTTCGGGAGTTTCTTAAACCAACCTTTAAAAATTCCTTTTTTTTACTTTTCTTTTTCTTTATAAGAATTTCTTAGATTGTAAAATCACATTAGCATAGACAGTTTTACTTTCCTTGATTCTTTTAAGGTGGGTAGTTGCAGGCAATCTGTTCTGAGGAGGTAGACAGAGTTAGAATCCTTTTAGTCTCTGATAAACCATCTGCGTTCAGAGCCATCCTTGATGGAGGTGTGGTGGGCTACTTGGTGGCATCATTTTTCCCCACCATCAAGGTTCATTCTTGTCCCAGTGTCTTGGGCCACAATGAAAAGTGAAGCTTCTCTCCCTTTTCTGCTGTCCCCCACCCTTCAGAACAAAACAGCACAACCGCTGAGCATACGTCACCCTAAACTACTCCAGTCACTTAGACAAGGCAGCCCCATTATCGATGCTATTACAGCCTTCCTGTTTACATTGCATTGTCTGTCCTCAGAAGGGGCCTTCGTCTAAGAGAACTCATTTTTCTGGTTACTGCACCTGGGAGGCCCCCACCCCCAGTTTTCTCAGGTGAGCCCTGCCATTCCCAGGGATGTTTTGCTCATGCCATCTTTAATTCCCTACTTAATAGTCCTTTTAGCTGTGACAGTGAGGAAGAAGCAATAGGCAGAGAGCAAGAAAGACAGAAAAGATGCAGTGGGAAAATACCAAGTAGGCAAAACTTCTCATAAATAACAAAGGCATTCTTGATTTATCATGTGGCAATAGTATAACAGAGCCTTCACAGTAACTGAATGGGACATGGAGATCTTTATCTTAGCAGGGAACATGATGTCTGCCATTTGAAATCACGCCGTGGAAGCGAGGTTTAACACAGTGATGGATATGCATGGGAAAGGTAAGTGGTTCTTTGAAATTGCCCTGAAATCATTTATGCTCCAACAAGAAGCTAGCTCGCACCGAAGTTGGTGAATAGTCAGTTGCATGATTTGTGTGTATATTTCCTGATAGTTAATTTTTTTTCTATTAAAAGTATAGATCACCTTGACTATAAATGCCAGTTTACAGGATTCAATCAAGAGTGCCAGATTATAATAACAGGAGTCTGGCAAGAAGGGGTGGAACCAATAGCTCTTCTCTCTCATCACTGTTATTGTTACACAAATGAGTGTCATCCCACTTGATGTGACTGTCTGCAGAAGACTAACTGATCTGCTTTGTAGCCATTAGCTTGCATCTTATAGTGAAACTATTGAAGGTTCCCTGAAAGCCTTGCAAATTTTCACCATCAAGCATCTTACTAGGAATAACCAATATTATGAGCATTTTGATAATGGACTATTCAGGATTTAGGGATTGTGTGTTTTGTTTTGTTTTTAAATCGATCCCGACTCTAAATTTGTCATAAGAGATAAGTAGAGCTAAAGTGGCTGAGAGGGTTATTTGTAAACAGGAAAATACTAGGGATTCTTCTGTGTGACCTTTCTAGAGTCATACCTGCTTTCTCTGCCTTAATTTTCCTTTCTAAAAAATGGAGAGGAGTTTAGTAGGTTAATGTGAACAGATATCTGCTGACATAGGTCATCTCTGAAGAGGCGGTATGACAGTGTTAAAACATAAGGGTTGAGCAGGCAGGCTGCCTCCTTTTCAGTCCCAAGCTTCCCCACTCTCTAGTGCTATCATTCAACTTGCTTCACCTCACTTAATTTGCTTCACTTGCCTTGTCTGTGAAACAGGACTCATAGGGACCTGTCCCAAAGGACTGTCATGAGACTCAAGTACATGAAAAGTGGTTAGGATGATGACCGATACAATAATATCACCCAAACTCTTTGCCAACTTGATGTTTGTGTGGACTGCTGTTATATCTGTTACTGCTTTTCTTAAAACCTGAATTGACCTTGTTTCTCCTTGGTGGTAACATCCCCACCTATCTCCCTTTCCTCCGGATCAGGGAGGAGGGTCCTCCTCTCACCTCCTGCCTTCTCTGCCTGTGGCCTTTGTCTCCCCCAGCCCCGATGCTCCCGTCACACAGCCCTCCTGGAAGTGTCTGGAATCTGTCGCATGCTCTCTGACCTTTCTCTATCTTGTCACATCCGTCAAAATGCCGTAATCCACTGCTGAACTGAACACTGGCCCCAGAGGGCATTCTGGCTTCCTTGGAAAGACAGACCTGCATCAAACGTTTTCTCTGCCTCTTCCTCCCAAGAGGGGCTTGCCCTCTCCCCATGGCAGCTTTGTTTCTTTTACCTCCTCCTTGAAGTTCTCAGAGGTCCTGGCCCTCCCAGCGCCCAGCACTTGTCAGACACCGAACTGATGCTTACACATTAAGTTACACAGTGGTCAAATAGTCCAACCTTGGATCTCTTCCCTGGAAGCAACTTGCTTCATTTCAGAGAACTTTGCAGTTGCGGTGTAAGGAGAAAGGATATTGGAGCAGGCTGAAGTGCCTTGAGCCAAAGTTTATTCATAAAATGCACCCAACAGAGTAAGGTGCCCAGCTGCCCTGAAAAATGCAGCTCCCAGAGCCTCAGAGCGCAATGTCATCCCAAGAGACAGCTGAGTGGGGACAGGAAACTTTTCCATAGACAGAGACTCAGGTAGTGTTAATTACCCTTCTCCCATCCTTCCCAACCCTGGTGTATACTTAAGACTTCTTACCTCTTTAATTCCCTGATTCCACCTGGCTTTCAGAATGAATCACTGGAGACCAGTTACTATCCAAAGTGGTTATTTTCAAAAGACACACATGTATATGTGGCCAGAGATAACAGACTGAACTGTGTTCAATAACTTCTTTAGGAATGAAAAACCCTCCACAGAGGCCATAGCTTTGGGGCTACTGTCAGCCTGCCGCGCGTGTTGATCATTTCTTTCTGAGATGTGTATCTTCATTATTTCTGTTCTCCTCCTCTTTACTGTGATCATCACAAAGAAGAGTCATCCCGGGTTTCTTTCTAAAAGATGCCTTTTGAAATTTAATTTAAATGTCTTTGACTCCTTTTTTGCAGCCATTTCTCATGGGATTGCTAATTTCCCTTTCTCCCTGCAAAGTTTGTATCTTCCAATTAAAAAGTGAAATCACATACGAATATATTCAAGAGACTTCGGTACATATCAGTTTCTAAGCTACAGCATGATATGAAAGGGGTTCTGGTGTCCAGTTGTTGCATCCAAAGGAAGTGTTGGTCTTTAATCACAAGCCCTCATTCCTTCCCCCAGAAGAGCAAGCTCAGAGTGTCAGGAAAGGTGACTTCATTAACGTGAAAAATACGGCTGTCCAAGTTTCAACATGAACTTGGCTGCCGTTGTTTATCTGTTCGGCTGGCACTTCCCTCGCAGCCATTTTCCTTTGTTCAGATCACTGAACCTCACACTGATAGCGCCTTTCAGTAATCGTGAATTTGCAGGCTTAGTCTTTCGCAGGCCAACTGGAGGGAAATCTGGGGAGTTACTGACCTGTTGAAACACCATATGTTTCTGCCATCTTAGGTGGAAGTCTTCACAGCTAAGCGCTGGGCTGTGTTTCATCAGCTCTCATGCTACAGGGAAGGCTCTGACTGGGTAATTGCTCATGGCATTAAAAATTTATGTTGGCCAACGTATCACACAGACATTTATTTTTCAGCTGTGAGATGAATGGGGCCTTGAAAAGAGAAAGGAGGGGGAGAAACGTGGGGTTTAACCAGTAAATATCTTCGCTTGTGCTCCTCCTTCTTCCAGGAACATCTACTGCAAATATTGAGTAACGAGTGAAGTAGATCAGTAGTCACCAGTCCTTGCTAGACAGGAGTCCTGGGAGCTTCTTACTTCTGTTAACCCTTAAGCCACTGGATCATGGGCAGACCTAACAAAGCCCTGGAGGAAGGGGGACCCTGGAGGGAGGAGGGCAGTGCTGCTCACCAACTTGGGGGAGGGCATTTTTGTGTTTTAACAACTCACAAGATTATTCCTGTGTATATGATTGCATGCGAGTCCTGTCTCAACCTGCCTCCTCCAGGCATGCCGTTGCCTATATGTCCTTGCAGGTGTGGATCCAACGTTACTGTCTCTGCAGAACCTTCCCTAATTCCCAGCTTATTCTACTCAGCATCCCCAGAGCACTGTAACCACGACTGAAGGCATATGCCCAGGGCCAGAGAACAGTTCCATTATGGAGGAGAAAAGAGTACGGCCTCTGGAAGGCAGTTAACCTCTCTGGGCCTCAGTGGATACGCCTGTAAAGTGGGGACAACAATACTGCCCTGAGCTAGTTCCCCCAGAGGCAGATTATGAGACAAGGGTTTGGGTGAAGCATTGAGGACATGATGGCAGTAAACTTGCAAGAGGATAGGTCAGGAAGGGCGTCCAGACAGAGTGGGTTTGCAGACAGGCTGTCATTGTGAGTGCCTGGAGCCAAAGCTCACTGGAGACTCTGAGAGAGTGTCTAGAACTTTCTTAGAATCACGGCAAGGAAGCTGGGGGACTTCATCTGCAAACCCCATGCCTTGCCGGCTGAGGGATGCTCCATGGACACTGTCTCCCCAGCATTTTCACCTACGCATGGCCAGAAACCACCATCAAAGAGGGTGACAAGGAATGCCAGGGTCAGCTTGTTGGCAGAGTAGTTGGCGTGTACCAGGACTATTCACCAGGGACTGATGACCTGAGCCAACAAGTATGAGTGGATAACAAACAACTCCTCTATAATTACCTCCTTCGTAGAGTTTCTGTGATAATCTGTGCAAAGGAGCTAGCACCATGTCTACCACATAGGACCATGAAATCTTGGATTAATAACAATTAGTCATATAGGGAACATTTTGGTTACCGACTGTATGCTGACCACCATGCTGTGTGCTAACTCGTTTAACTCTCGGGGATAATTTATTAGATAGGTACTGTTTTTATCCCCATTTTACAGATGAGGAGCCCCAGATCTTCAACTACATTGTCAGTCAAGCTTGCCTAGATGATTAATGAAGGTGATACATACACCAGGCCTTCTGGTTTCATAGTCTGCACTCATAACCACTGTTGCACATGACCGGTCTGTGAGCAAGAGGAAAACAAAAATTGGTTGAAAAAGAGCTTTAGATTCTCACGAATGTTAACTTACTCTTACCTTACCCTTATTTTGCTGCTCAGGAAATGTGTATGACCCCAGGAGCAGACCTCTAGGATAAAGGTCTTGGCACTTTTCTGAACTTGGACCAGACCCTTTCATTCGAAAGACATGGTAGCTACTGGGCTTGCGGTACACAGAGGCCATCATTAGTCAGGATCATTTACTTCAGGTCTTCCGTGTGCAGAGTGTGGTTGCCGGGACTGTGGGGAGTCACGGAAGAGGTGGGGGAGATAGGATCATCCATCACAGAGGCCAGCGGGATAGTACACATGCCCACATACCTCCACAGGTGGCAGAATTGGAAACTAAACATGCAGCTCAGCCAGGCCTCTCGAGGTAGCAGAATTGGGTTCTTCTTCTGCCCTTGCAATGTCTCCCACAGGTTGCAGCTGGTGAAAATACAGATTTCAAGCCACATAATAGAAAAAGAAATCAGAGAGTGGGGTATGGAAAATGGAAGGGCCTGCCCCTTCATACCCAGTAGAGAACTCAGTTACACATAAACAAGCCTCCCAGTGAGTGGCATTAAGCTGGGCTTTAGATTTAGAGCTGTGTTAACAGCAACTTAACCACTCAGACTGAGCTTCAAAATATGAAATTGGCCCGGTAATATTCAACTTACCGATGTGTTGCATTGTTAACTAAAGAACTACGCCGCAAAATGATGCTCCGTCAATGTTATTTTCTTCCCCTACCTGCACTCTGGAGGTAGTGATTCACTGTGAGAGTTGAAGACTTATTGATGGTTGGGTATAGGAGGTGTTATATGTAGAGTTTAGAGTGTCAGTTATTATTATTATTATTTTGGTTGTGCTGGATCTTCGCTGCTGGGCACAGGCTTTCTGTAGTCGTGACGAGTGGGGGCTGTTCTCTAGTTGCTGTGGTTCCTCTTGCTGCCGAGCACAGTCTCTAAAGCACAGGCTCAGGAGTTGTTGCTCAGAACCTTAGTTGCTCCACGGCATGTGGGCTGTTCCTCAGGGATTAAACCCGTGTCTCCTGCATTGGCAGGTGGATTCATTTCTACTGGACCACCAGGGGCGTCCTGGAGTTTCCATTTTTGCCATACATTTGGATAGATTGCCATACATGCTGCTGGGGGTGAATGAATGGGATGGATGTTGAAATCGAGATTACCAGAGGCCACAACCACCTTCAAAATTCTGACTCACTAAAAGCAGCAGCATTTAGTGATGGAGATAATTCTGAGGTAGATGAGCTGTGGCCCACACTTTGAGAAACACTGGCCCACATAATTAATATAACGGTCAAATAACTACTTATATAAATTTAAAAACAGATTTAGAAAAGGAGACACATTTAAAGATGGGACTATGTCCATTAGAGTCCAGAATGGTTACCTAGATTAGAGTAGTGCAAAGGGTGTGAGTGGGTGGGTAGGCTTGAGAGAAGGCCACAGGTTGCATCAGTCTTTTTCTTTCTCAAATCAAGTTCAAAGTCATCCTTTAATTCAGTGCATATGATAGGCAGCTAGTGAGATAGACTGGGAATCCTAGATTTGTCAAATAATAACTACAAAGGCTTAAGCAACTTTTATGGCCTCTCTGGGCCTTAGATTCCTTGGTTGAGAAAGAAGGAATAATATCCAGCTAATAGGGTTGTTTAAAGGATTAATGATCATTGTTATCACTGTGACTAAGCTCTCAGTATTATTTCACAGCAGAAAGCTTTGTCAGAGAGAGAAAAGAACTCATGTCTGTTACTGTGGATATTGACCATGCATACTACCTGCTCAAGGCTCTCAGAGAATCCAGAGGAAAGATTTGCAGTGTCGCTGGGCTGAGCATATAGGCTGCCGCCATGCAGACTGCCCTACTCTGAGCTGCAGAAAGCGCTGGAGCTGTGAATGCACTTCCAAGGTCAAAGCATTTTGCTAATTAGAAATTAATATTTCACACCAGGGCAGGTGAGTTGGGCCCTGTGAACCCAGTGAGTCTGATTAAATGTGTCTCAATGTCTAGACCCTGCCCTAGACAAAATATCTGCCACCTGACTGCTTCCAAGTATCACATGCCACCTTGTTGAACTGCAAATAGGAGAAGAAATTGATACGTAGGTGACCCATTCCCATGAGAGTTGGTACCAGCAGTTTAACTCTGCCTGGGAAAACTGGGGAAGGTCATTGAGAGTCAGTGGCCTGGTGTGCCGCAGTCCATGGGGTCACAGAGTCAGACACGACTGAGCGACTGGCCTGAACAGATGTGAGTTAGGACCTAAAGAAAGACAGTGCCAGAAGGGACCAGCATGTCCTTAGGCGGTCATGAAGCACTCCCTGATTTGGGGGAGAGGCAGTGATCAGAGAGGCCGGAGGATGCCAAGGAGACTGTGCTCTGTATAGGCCAACAATAAAGTCCAACTGTGAAGACCATTTATAGCAATTAGGGTGACTGGATTCTTCTCTGGTAGAAAGTTGATCTAGGAATAGAGGACATTTAAGTGAGAAAAATGACAGAAAGAATGAGCAGCATTTACTAGTGAGAAGTTAACCAGCAAGCTCTCAGAAGCGCTCTGGGGACACATTAAGGATGTGGTTCCTTTGTTTCTGAGGTTCCCTGTGTTCCCTCTTATCTGAGGATGTTTTTTGAAATAAGTGACGTTAACCAAATTATGCATTCTTTAGGAAGAGAAAAGAAAGAACTAACATTTATTGTATGTAAACTGTGTGTTAGGCTTCCCGTTGAAAATTTACTTATATCATCTCACTCAGTGTTCCCAACAAAGTTAAGAAGTATGCATTTCTTGAATTCCCCTTTCTTAAATAAGGAAATGAGCAATAAGAAAATGAATGATATGAATCTCTTCCCAGCACATTCATTGATTCATCCATTTACCCACTAGATATCCATTGAATACCTGTTAATTCAAGCAAGATTCTAAATACTGAGGGTTCAACCTTAAACTGAAGGGAGTAGGTTTCTGGTCCTGAACAACACAGCATTAGTGGGCTGTCAGAGAAATTAGTTGCCCAGTCATGTCCGACTCTTTGCAACCCCATGGACTGTAGCTCATCAGGCTCCTCTGCCCATGGAATTTTCCAGGCAAGAGTACTGGACTGGGTTGCCACTTCCTGTTCCGAGGAGTATTCCGGATCCAGAGATCGAACTCGCGTCTCTTACATCTCCTGCATTGGCAGGCGCATTCTTGACCACTAAAGCCTCCTGGGAAGTCCGATGTGCAGGATGTGGCATTAAAGCAGTAAACACATTAAAAGTTCCCCACAGATGCTGTGAGGCGATGAAATGGGGTGATCCAACACAGAGGAGTGCTTCAGGGTGGAAGGCAGGCGTCTTTGAGGAGATGACAGGTGAGCTGGCATGGGGGTGAAAAGAAGCGAAGACACTGATGTGGATACAGAGCAGACTTGATGGAAGAAAGAGAAAGCAACAGAACTCTCAAGGAGGCCGGACCCTGGTGGGTCCTGGGGGCTAAAGTAGCCAGTGCGCTGGTGGAAGGTGAGCAGGAGGGAGAGACAGCGGCAGGGCCCGTGGTTGTCAAGGACCAGGGTGTCTCGGGTCCTGGGGGGAAGTGTCTATGCTTCCATCAGAGTACAGTGGGAGGTCATAAGGTTTTTAATTAGGATTCTATCACTGGTTTGGGGACTGAGGCTAGGTAGAGTACAGAAGTGGGAAAGGCAGTTAGGCCACTTGGTTTTTATTATTCCAGGTGAGAGAATGATTTATAATGACTTTAAACTGGAAATCCCAAAGAGTAGAGATATCTTTTAGCATTCGCAGTTTCTCTTATCTTTTTCTCTATATAGGTAGGTAGGTAGTCAAAGATGTATCAGTATATGCTTATGTCTACACACACATATTAATATATCAGTATGTGTATATATAATACATATATAATATACATATATATGTATATAATATAACATGTATATATAAAATAAATTATATATTAAATACTATAATATTATTTAGAAATTATAAAACACACAAAATAAATATTAAGAAACTGCTAAAGAAGAAAGAAACATTTTAAATAATTTATTGTTTTAAAAGTAAAAAATCACTCTTGCTAAAATCTTACTATTAAAAGCACTGGTGACTCAGATGGTG